GAAGACGCAGAACGAAGACGCAGAACGAAGACGCTGAACGAAGACGCAGAACGAAGGCGCAGAACGAAGACGAGGAAATTGGAAAATGAAAACAAATAACATCGAAAATGTTCAAGCGAATTTTTCAAAAGAAAAAGGAACCATTGAGTCGCGATGAGATGGAATTGAGGAAAAGAGTGGGACATTTGAAACTTGCGAGTTAACAACATCGAGACGCAGAACGAAGACGCACAACGAAGGCACAGAACGAAGGCACAGAACGAAGGCGCAGAACGAAGACGCAGAACGAAGAGGAAATTGGAAAACGAAAACAAATAACATCGAAAATGTTCAAGCGAATTTTTCAAAAGAAAAAGGAACCATTGAGTCGCGATGAGATGAAATTGAGGAAAAGAGTGGGACATTTGACACTCGTGAGTCAACAACATCAAGACGCGACGAAGAGCAAGGCGAAGTTAAAAAACAAAATGACGACGCAAACCAAGTTGATAAAGGAATTACATACAGAAGCAAATCAACTCCAATCAGAATTACCCAAACTAAAGTAAGAGTTAAAAAAGGCCGAAATTGACACAAGTAAGACGCAGAACGAAAACGCAGAACGAAGACGCAGAACGAAGACGAAGAACGAAGACGCAGAACGAAGGCGCAGAACGAAGGCGCAGAACGAAGACGCAGAACGAAGACGCAGAACGAAGGCGCAGAACGAAGGCGCAGAACGGAGACGCAGAACGAAGACGCAGAACGAAGACGCAGAACGGAGACGCAGAACGAAGACGCAGAACGAAGTTGCAGAACGAAGGCGCAGAACGAAGGCGCAGAACGAAGACGCAGAACGACGACGCAGAACGAAGACGCAGAACGAAGACGCAGAACGAAAGCGCAGAACGAAGACGCAGAACGAAGACGCAGAACGAAGAAGCAGAACGTAGACGCAGAACGAAGACAAGGAAATTGGAAAACGAAAACAAATAACATCGAAAATGTTCAAGCGAATTTTTCAAAAGAAAAAGGAACCATTGAGTCGCGATGAGATGCAATTGAGGAAAAGAGTGGGACATTTGAAACTCGCGAGTCAACAACATCAAGACGCAGAACGAAGACGCAGAACGAAGACGCAGAACGAAGGCGTAGAACGAAGGCGCAGAACAAAGGCGCAGAACTAAGGCGCAGAACGAAGACGCAGAACGAAGACGAGGAAATTGGAAAACGAAAACAAACAACATCGAAAATGTTCAAGCGAATTTTTCAAAAGAAAAAGGAACCATTGAGTCGCGATGAGATGAAATTGAGGAAAAAAGTGGGACATTTGAAACTCGCGAGTCAACAACATCAAGACGCGACGAAGAGCAAGGCGAAGTTAAAAAACAAAATGACGACGCAAACCAAGTTGATAAAGGAATTACATACAGAAGCGAATCAACTCCAGAATTACCCAAACTAAAGTAAGTGTTAAAAAAGGCCGAAATTGACACAAGTAAGACGCAGAACGAAGACGCAGAACGAAGGCGCAGAACGAAGGCGCAGAACGAAGGCGCAGAACGAAGCCGCAGAACGAAGACGCAGAACGAAGACGCAGAACGAAGACGCAGAACGAAGACGCAGAACGAAGACGCAGAACGAAGACGCACAACTAAGACGCAGAACGAAGACGCAGAACGAAGACGCAGAACTAAGACGCAGAACGAAGACGCAGAACGAAGACGCAGAACTAAGAGGCAGAACGAAGACGCAGAACGAAGACGCAGAACGAAGACGCAGAACGAAGACGCTGAACGAAGACGCAGAACGAAGGCGCAGAACGAAGACGAGGAAATTGGAAAACGAAAACAAATAACATCGAAAATGTTCAAGCGAATTTTTCAAAAGAAAAAGGAACCATTGAGTCGCGATGAGATGAAATTGAGGAAAAGAGAGAAGACGGATTGGTCTTCTCAAGTGAAGTCTCAAGTGAATCTGCTGACCAATCCGAGGCTGGATCACGGATGCCAAGCCCGCTAAATGGTGGATCAGGACAGAAGATATCCTGCAAGGGGTAACAGGGGAAGGCCTCCACGAAGGCTTCAAGAGACAGCAAATAATAGACCACCGCGGACGGCAAGGAGAGAGAAAATGTTAGGAAAAGGTTCCATTTGCAGGGGGAAAGAAAGATACCGCTGAACATAATAGGATTCCAATGGATAGGAGGGCTTCAACGAATGGACTCCATTGAAACCCGAATGGATAATCCAAATTCTTATTTGAGTAGTGCAGCATTGGCCATCGAACACGAAGGTGACGATCTTCAAGACGATGGGAGACAAAGACATCCGACGCCAGAGTCCCAGGCGGGTAAAATGGGACTGCCGAATTTCTGGGCTGATAATACAGAATCGCCGGAGTCTCAGGCGAACGTGGGACTGCCGTGGCTTTGGGCCGAGAATACAGAGTCAGAGTGGCCTTGGGCTCTTGACAACCAAAATGAGAGGATGTCCCGACAAATGGGAAGTCGATCAAAAACAGAAACGCCGATGTTTCGGGCGGAAACGAAACAGTTAAAGTCCCAGGGCAAAAGTGGGACCAGAATCCTTACGATCGACAAACCCAAAAACAAAATCTCGAGGTAAAGTGGATGCATCACATTTATCTCCCAGTGCCGAACTGAATCAAAGGAAAACGTGCCAAACCCAAGTGCTGGTACTTGTCACAACCGATAAAAGAATACGTATTGTCGGAAGAACCCAGAGTGGGTGAAGAAGGCATTACAGAAGCTTGAGGGAGAAGCTATTGCGTTGGCCAGAGAAGAATATACGCCGACCGACTTAGGAACAAAAGAAACGAGCTGATCCCTGAAGAAGAATGGAAAAAGATTTACGAACCCTACGCAGGAGAACTGGAAAATCTCCAAAAACACTTGAATGAACCACAAGTAATGAAATATAAGTGTTCAATAGAATTGAAGGACCCAAACACCAAACCGTTCGTGTCAGGACCTTATAACCTCAAAGGAGAAAAGCAGCAAAAGGCGTTAGAAGACGGAATCCAACTCATGAAGAATCTGGGAGTTGTAGACGGGATTTGCGCAATGGAAACTGGCCATTTTCGTTGTACCGCAAAGATGAACGAACGTCAGAAACAAGACCCGAATGCGAACAAGCATGGCGTGTAGTACAGAACTGCAACCCTTAAATGCTGCGATCAAGGGGATAGAAATAGCCCCTCCGTTGATACCAGACGTGCTCACTATGGCGCAGGACGACCGGTCCTGAGTTTGTTGGATCTAAAGAAAGCTTACTACATATTGAAGTGCCCGAGAAATCTAGAGAATTTTTGGGTATTGCAGTGAAGAATGAACTACTTAGATTTCGAAAAATGCCGTTTGGAATAAAGACTGGACCAGCACAATGGTCTGCAAACATGTTAGAATGCATAGAAAAGCCTGTGACGAAAGATTATAGAGATCGAATTCGAGAAATGGGAAGAACGGACGAAGAAATGCTGAGCCAATCAAAGTGTATATAGATGACATGGTCTAGCAACCAAAACTTGCAGATCACCTCGTCTTGTTGAAATATGTTTGAACAAATGGTAAAAATGCGATTAACAATAAGTATAAACAAGTGTTGGATTGGGAAAAAACGGATCAACGTCCTTGGTGTAACCGTGACAGAACACGAAGTGTTAGTACAACCTGATAGAATACGAGCACTTCGAGAGATACCACCTCCAAAGAATATAAACGAACTGCGTGGATGGATTCGCGCTACGATATGGCCAACCACATTCCAAGATTAAGCCTAATATTGACACGGTTTGACGAAAGGACGGGAAATGTTCCTTCTACGAGAGGAAAAGTCACACCACTGGAATGGACGGAAGAGTTGTTGGACGACTTTAAAATCGCCCAACAGGCGGTTAGTAATCCAGAGAAATTGTATCACTTCAAACCCGAATACAAAACGTATCTAGAAACAGATGCGAGTGAAAAGGGGTTTAGTGCCATATTATTTCAAACCAACCGGAAACGAAAATCGATGAAATTGGACCCCACTCTATAAAAGCGTTTTTCCCCTTGCCTATTATAGCCAGAAGTGGAAGACTCAGTGCCAGAGAGCTTATGACCCTTGTAAAAAAGATTTAAAATCAAACAAGGTGTCACTAGGGAGTAAGAGCGCTGTTTTGGGGGATCCCTTAACTTTCGATCGATAAGTCTTCGGTCTCTTAACGATATTCTCGTTTAATATTTAGTGATATAGGTTCTAATTGAGTTGTATATCCGAGGCTAATTATACTATTTTATTGGTTTTGTGTCTTCTAGCTTAATTTATGTGCTGTTGTTGGGCTGGAGACACAAATATATTGTAACCTCACATACATACAATACAAGCATGCATACACTACCGTGCATAGAGAGAATATTCACTGTGTTACACTGCCATTTATTTACTGTGAAACTTTTAACCTGATTGTGGAATTTTACTGGACTGTGACTTGTATATACTGTAAATATACCTTCATTACAAGTTCTTTAATACAAGTTGGATGTGTTTATGTGTGCGTTACTACTGTGTCGAGAGTTAGCTACGGAAGTAGATTGACAAGACAGCCCAATAAGCAGAAATAGGACCTGTAGAACCTCGTAACTCTACAATCTTTTTAAAACAACAAACACGTCTTTCGCTCCGAACAAGGCCTGTACATGCGCCACCGATACTAATGATACGCAAGATGTTAATATTTAGAGAAGTACTGGAATCCTTCTGGTTCATCACTGTCTACCAAATTTATTACACCTTGGGTAAGAAAGCTAATACAAGATTTGAACTCGAGATGTGTTACTTGCGATGCCAAAACAGATGAGTCTGATATCACTAGGCCATCATGCCTGAAATCTTTTCAAATGATTTCCGATTTGATTTAACTAAATTCTGTGAACAAGCCAATTACCAGTACCAAACAACCAATATGTGACGACTTTTGAACAATGCAGTAGTACAGATAAAAAAAAAATTAATCTTTACCTAAATCTGTGATCTCGAAATTCCATGCCTTGTTTTTCATCGTTAATTTTTCTCCAAAGTGAATGCAATTGACTTGAATCTTTTACTAAATCATTTGTAACGTCTGTTTCAAGAATTGTTGAAGTTGACATATCCGGTGTTGCATCAAATATATACACAGGGGGTTTCTAAAATAATAAAACACCTGTCATAAGGAGAAAGGAAAACTCGAATAATATAAAATAATTCAGGATAGTTAAAATATATTTTTCATGTATGAAAAACTGTCTATTTGAACCTGGCAGGAGAGCAGCCAGGAATTTTCAAAGGGGGGAGGGCGTTCTGAAATTTTTAATTGTCAAGCTGGACCGTAACAGCTAGCAAAGCGGGTTTTCAGGCAGGAGTCTTAAAGGTATAAAGGGCGTTCCAAGCTACGAAAAATTGATATATATATGATACAGAAAAATGCTTTTTGTTTTTTTACATTTTAAAAGAGGGGGAAGTTCTGACCCGCATTTTTGTTATCAACTCTGCCATGGTTCAGCAAAAGAACAAAAATTTGGGAAATTTTTGGGAAATTTGCCAACTTCAAATGATATTTAAAGATACAGTAGTGAGTTAATATCAATGATTGGAAACAATGTGCTGTGGCTACTTCAATAATAATTCAAGAACGCACTGGACATCCATATTAAATCTATACAATGACCAGTTATATGAAAATGTGCAGTTGCACTTAATTTATTAAAATGCTGATATGGAAGGTTCCTGAACAGAATGGATACTGCTTTGCAATATTTTCAGAAGAAGTAATGCTCATAATTATTGCACCAGTAATGTATGAATGAAGAATCAGTCTAAATTCCCAAAGTTAGTGTAATGTTCATCATTTCTGTGCTGTGTATTTTAAAAACTCAATCTATCATTGAACATGAATAACATTCTTAAACCATCCAAATATTTTCGACAAATATTTATTTGATGCTGACTGTTCAATTAATTATAAAGCATTTTACATATTTGATCCGAACAATGCTACTGTTATTAGTAGTTACTAATGTATGCAATTGATCACATCTGAATTGAGGTGTTCGGCATATTGCACTCAATTCTTACAACCACTACACTGCTGTGTCCAAATCATCACTATTGAGGCTACTCAATATTACATACATACTCTGGATAGGATTTACAATCATTGAAAATAGCATTCATTTGATTTACACAAGGGATGAAAGTGAATAAAATATCATACCCTGCCTATTAATTCCCTTCCTGGTGATACAGCACTTGAATGTGGAAGAAATGCATCAAACCTTGAGAATCCTTGATCATCTGAGATAGAAGGAAGATCGTACCGTAAAGTAGTTGATGGTTGAGTATTTCTTCTTAAACTATTATTGCTGTAAACAGAAAATTCATCTAAGGGTGTATACTGTATTTTCAACAAAATAACGATGCAAAAATAAAGAAATATTCCAACAAGATAGGATAGAATTTTCAAAAGCAAGATTGGACAAGTCGAAACCAAGGAAAGACTTTTCCAGACCTCTATCTGATCATAATAAAGCTAATCTGAACAGCCATATTTTGCAACAAAATCGTAAAAAATGGCAAATTTTACTGATCTCACTACGAAAATGGCAACCTTAAAAATAATTGATGGTGATTCTTGACGAAAGTGTTTTCTGAATAGCACTGATATCAATTTTCTAACTAATAGGGACATTCCTTATGAGTATGTAAAAAAGTCAATTCTTTATTTGTGTGGAGTGTTTTCCTGAAATTTTTTAACTGCAATGCCAACAAAATTGAGCCAAGTGCCAGTTCAGATAATGAGCCTTTTCTTTGAGAAATACGTTTACCATATGAACAAATTGACCTATTTGTAGTGACTTTTAGAGTGATGGAGTGATAATTCAACCTTTTGAACTTGAAAAAGTGTGAATTATCTTCATTATCACGTACATCATGTTCTAGAATTGTTATCAGGTGATAACAAGATAAGATTAGGATATTAACACGAACAAAGTACTGGTTAATCAAAATCGACAAACATAAGGTAATTATCACAAAATGATATATTATGTATAACCATAAAACGAAAAAAAAACAAATAGGCCTAATTTAGTATTCTGAATACATTCTCTTTAAACGTAGAAATTGAATTTGGTTATGCAGAATAACTGAGATAAACATTGTTTTAATTAGTATTCTTTATTTTATTCAGTCAGAACTTGACTAATTTTTTTGTCCATTATAAAATAATAAAAGACCAAAAAAGAATTTTAAGAGAAAATATTTTAAATTATTCCTAAAATCGAGAATAATCAAATATAACCAATTTTAAATGTTGGAATCATTTGGACATCCCTGTTTAACGAATATTAATAATATTTCATGTCATATAAAGTATTCAACTGACAAAATTCTCCAACTGAAATACGTCACTCAGGGAACCCCTACAGTACTCAAATTTCACATTAGAAGCAAACTGACACCAGTATCAGACCAATAAATAGGTTTCATCACAATGTGACATTTTATCATTATTATTGTTCTTAACACCAGTGGGAATTGAGTCAGCGTATACTTGAGTCAGCGTATACTTGGAAAACATAGTTACAATTAAATTATCAACTTGTGGATATTACTCATCAAACACAGGTTAAATGCAAGGTTCTACCTCATTCATAGTAATTACAATTTACAACTTACCTGTGGCTGTGTGAATGTAAAATATTTTGTGGATTTCCGCCCATTGAAATGTTATTTCCGAATGATAGGAGACTGTCGCTCTAAATGTAACATAAGTTATATATGGAGACGGCCAGAAAATTTACATCAATCATATTGAAGAGCTTAAATTTTTTATAAATTAAAAATTGAAATTAGAGTTTCTTTGTGCAATAAGTGAAATTCGGCATAATAGCTTTGAAGCAAAATGGATACATTTACATTATAAAAAATTAAAATAATTGTAAAGGCCAAATTTTAGAATACCAAATATGACGATATGGATGATATAATATAAAAAAATATGAATAGGTAAAAGTTGACAAAACAAAACAGAAGTGTATTTACTAATATGGAGGTAACTAATTTTCTTCGCCTACTTTACATCAAGTTGTTAAAAGGAACTTAAACATATGGGCAGAGGGTATATTCACTTAGCTAACACAGAAAGTCCCCAAACTCGTAATGGAACTAAAATAAGGAGAATTGGAATCAAATTATGGCCTAACCCTAACCTGGTACACCATAAAAGCGCCAAGAGCTACTGAGGCTAAAAACAATCAGAATATAGACTTGAGCTTTAGTAAACAACAATTGACACGAAACTTGAAGCAGTTCACGCCAATACGATCAAGAAAACAGCTTAGAGGAAGTACTTACAGTTACTAATGAAGAATCAACTGCTGAATCCTCTGCAAGGCCATCTTTTGCTGGTGTAATGGAAGAACGTCCTACTGTATTGACTGCAGACTTTGGTGTGTTACCTTCAGCATACATCAAGACCAGCTTGCAACAATAAGTGCAAGATCGCAACATTCCTGAAGTAGGTCGAAGATGTTGGTAAAGAATATATTTTATTATTAAAGGGATATGCAGAATCAAGATTTTGAGAATTTTATCGTAAGATTTGCATTTGAGGGTTCCAATCAGGGATGGTTGAAACAGGATAGCTTACTATTTAGAAGATATTGTAAAATAATATTATTGAATATGGAATATTCAGTCTATTCTAAATAGGGTCATGTTCAACAAATAACACAGAAGTACAATATATATACAATGAGTTGAAAATACAACAGATAGGATTAAGATGAACAATGATTCGATTCATATTTTACAGTTTTCAAAATCAAGTTAAGGCCTCTCTCAAGTCACGCCTTGAGACTTTAAATGCTCAGAATGATCATTTTCCGAAATGAAATAATTCAGAATTATTTTTAAAGTCAAGTAATATTAAATATACCTAATTTTGATTGATTCGAATATTTGATATGTTTTGGAATTACCTGATTGCAAGGAAAGCATTCTACAAATTCAGTGAGATTAAATAACTGTTTTTTTTTTCTTACTAAATTTGTAATACGATTGATTATTATAAATAATTATGCATGGAATATTTGTTAAATTCTACAAATTTGCTTCACCAAAATTTGGTCTAGAGTGATGATTTAAAAATTAAATCTATCCTTATGCTCAAAATGGAGAAAAAAACTAATGTCAGACAGAGTATGTGACATTCATAAGTTAGATATTAAACAAGTCACAAATTTGAGATTTAAACTCATGCCCCAATAATCATAGACGTCTATGTATGTGATGACTATAATCAATAGTTATAATCAATAGGTAAAAAAATATATGCAAATATGGGACATGAGTATGGATGTCATAAAAAATCAATAGCTATCCAAACATCAAAATGGGTCTCTGAAGTACTCCATCGAGATGATATAATAAACGTAGTGCAATACAGCAATGTATAAATATCTGATATCTGAGGATTTATGCCATTTTGCATGACAATGTACACTTACTATAGCAAAATATCCATTTAAATACTTGATAAATTAATAATATGATCCGAAAAAAGCAAAAATGAGTATTATCACAGAGTATGCAAAAGAAATTTTCCAATACCTCTCTAATCCTAAACTTTAGCAGTACTAACTAAATTAGTTAAATACACAGTTTAAATTGTTTTTATGCAACAAATTTATACACCATTTGCTCTGTATAAGGTTCTGCACAAGCAGCCACTCATATTCAAGTTGCTATTTTATTTGAAGGACCAGAATCTTTCCGGCTCGGCATTATCTACCCAATTTGTCCCCCCCAGGGATGAAATGGTAGTCATGGAATCTGAACTCGAGATTTTAACCTGCGGTTTTATCTTAGTTGGGCCTAACGCTTTAACCGCTAGGCCACCGGCCCAAAGTGTTAATAGAAGCTATAAATAATCACAACTCCCGATTCCATAAATAACTAACCTGGATGTCCCATGATCTTGCCAGATATAAGTTGATTACAACACCGACTACAAAATATTTGACCACATATTCTACAATGATGTCGACGTCTGAAAGTTGTGAATTTCTCCCCACACTCGTAACATTCATGACACTGCTCATCGGGCATCCAATATTGTCGCAATTCAACAGCACTAGGTATAGGTGATGTATCACCAGTTGTATCACTATTTTCCAGCTGTTAAATGGAAAAAATTATGGTGATTTCTCAAACTGGTCCACCAAGGGTGCCGCGAAGCGATTCTCCAAGGGTCACAAGCAAAGCCTTCCATATGTACCATTTACGATGACTACCTTTAAAATAAATGGAATGTGATTTGTTTAATAATGCTTTTGACTTCCCTTTTTACTATTAAGCATTGCAAATAATAGAATGATATTGGAATTGCTTTGAATGCAAAAACTAGGTGCTTAGGCTCTTAGAAAATTCTAAATTGGTTTTAATATTATAATAGACTTCTATCACATGACGTGATGGATATTTTTTTTAAAACATTTTATCGAAGCAAGCTAGCTCATTCACTCAGAATAGAAAATATTCAGAGCAATGTCATGGGCTCTAACTCTAACTAAATACAAAGATTTATTGTGGTATATTAAATTCCATTAAATGCATTTTGACAAGTGATATGAAATCAGAAATACTAAAGCAAACTAATAAATTTCATGGTCAACCATTAGAGTTCAAAAAAGTCCTGTTTTCTCAATATGATTTGTCCAAAGACTTATGTACCCCCATTTATCACAAGATGTAACTTTATTATAGGTGTGCTATTCTCGTTACAATTCATAAGGAGAAATGGATTTTGTTAATTGTGAAACTGCATGACAGAATATGAACTCACATCCCCATTTTCACTGCCTTGTGGTCCCTTCATTAATTTAGGAAAATCTTTCAGCATAGAAGATATAGAACGTAGTCTTAATTCTACCTCACTGCCAGGATCGCGAGGAAGAGATGCAGCTCGTATCCTTCTTTTTGTACCCTACATTGGAGCAATTAAAAAAAATGTTTTACCATAAAATACTTTAGTCTGTCAAAGATAAATAAAGCACAACCGGTGTATAGCAAAACGATATAATTTGCCGACATCGTTTTGCTATACACCGGTTGTGCTTTATTTATCTTTGACATGAATATACCTGGTGGCAATCATGCGCTATACTTTAGTCTGTTCGTAAGTACAAACCCAGGAAAGATGACTCGATTTACTTAAATCTATTTGAGGCGAAAAATGCATAATTATTCAATTTTGTTGTATTGTTAGGAAAACTATTTGATACGTTTTATTTGTTTGCAGAGTCGTTCAGGGAATAGTAGGTGAACCTAGACCACAAAATTTTCCTCTGTATAAGTATTTGGGGTGCTCCCGAAGTATGCGCCCCAAGATGGCGCACAACCTGAACCCTAACTTGGTACACATACAGGTTGTGCGTCATCTTGGTGCACATACTTCTGGAGGTCCATATTTTGTTATAAATGCCTTGATAATGTTATATTTACAGGCCCAACGTACCTGCTTGGGTTTCTCTAAATCCAATACATTTGGGCGAACTGTTGTTTTTCCTTCCCTTTTTTCAGGTTTTTCTTTCAGAGATTTTTGATCTATATGATGAATAAGAAAATGACAATATAGATTGAACAGAAACTTTTGGCTGGTACAAGATATAAACATAGCAATAAATTCAGGGACATCTAATATATAAGTGGATAAGTGCTGAAATGATCAAATTGACAATATTTCAAATATTGATATTCTATAATAACCAAAAATTGAATTCAAATTATCTCTCAGAATTGATTTTAGTAATTAAGAATCAAATAGATTGCAGAAAAGATCTCAAATTACGTATTCAATCAAGTTATAATATAAAAAATTGTTGTCTCAAATTTGACAGGAATATATCAATAAATTTGTGGATTGATTCCATCAATATTCCTGTAATATTTCATTGTAACTATTGGGTGAGTCGACAATGTAGGGCCAACATCAGGTATAAAATCGAACTTTCAGTTAAATCAGTAAAAAAAATCCGCCCTTTTGGAAAAATATTTTTAAATTTTTGAAGCTAATTTCAATGCAAAGAATGTTTTGATTTATTGATGTTCAAGTTTGATATGCCTATACAGGACTAAATCATATATTTTAAAACGATAGATGGAATGGTATTATTTTATCTAGTAGCGACGAGTCAAAGTTTGGTAGACAAAAATTGGTATTCTTGTATGAGGGAACTGAAGACAAATCATTGGGGGGAACAAGACTCAAAATTTAGGCCAAGTTGGGAGCTAGAGCCTATAAGCATCCCTGTTTTCAATCCTATCCACACAAGCACTACAACATCATAAAACGATTGTCACCTTTTTTCAAACTGAAGAAATTGAAAACAAATGATAGAACGTTTGAAGAATTCTGTTGGTTTTCATCTTTTGGAGGACCAAAATATGTCAACTTCCCTGGATCCGATCCATCTTCAGAGGAACGCATCCTCCTTTTTATGATCCAGATAATTTAACTTATCATATCCTCTTTTATTATTAAATTCAATATAAAATCAGTGTTAATTTTCTAAACAAAAAATGAAAACAAATTATTCAGCGTCTTTTATTATGATTTTTATAAACATAGGACTGCAAACAAAAACACAAGCAAAATGTAAAATATACAACAAACTCTGAAGTGATTTTTTCAACAATTAATGAAAGCATTTACTAGGATTATCTAAATATCATGTTTTATCAATGAATAGAAATAAGAAATACTGTAAAATACCACAGATTAATATGGAGATAGTGACAACAAAAGTGTTTCTAACCAAGACCGGGAAGACGGAACTGAGGCCTGAATTCTTGTTGAGGGGCCTGGAGCTTACCATAATATATGAAGCATGAGCCGAAGTATCAAAAATTTTATGAGTTTCAGCTCCTAACCATTTAATCATAATTTCACTATATAATTTTCTAATACTTCAATAAAGTAATAAAATCTATTCTTTTTAGCTTAATTTTTTTTCAATAGCCAATTTCTAATATTAATCTAAGTTTCAATTACCTGAGTTTCATGATAAATTTATATAATTAAAAGTTTGATTTCAAAATTTGAAAAACTATTGTCATGGCTGTAAAATGGCCATCCTAAAAAATATGTCATGACAAAAAAGTTTTACCCTAATTTTGCGTAACTTTTTAACACCCTGTATTGTATAGTATAAATATCATTAGTGGAAAATTTATTTCTGGAACAGGAATTTCCGATATAACTCATTTCGATTTTGTTTTATCAAAATATTTCGAGCATTCTAAGTTCTATCATATTTACCACCCTTGTCAAATCATGATGAAATTATACCTCTTAATGAATTCTTGATTACAATTCCTGATATAATGGATATAACATAAGTGTTTGCACATATAATACAGTGTAAATAAATGATACAGTAAACAATACAAAATAAAGTTACATGGCAAAATAGGATGATGATAATAAACAAGGTCTTATTAAATATATGTACCGTATATGCTCGTTTTACCGACCGATCTTGATTAAGGGCCCGTTTGGATAGTCGCCCGTGTGAACAGAACATAAAAATAAATAAGGGCCGGTGCTTGAATACCCGCCCGATGTAAAAGCTGATTTTTCAGTGGTAGAGAACAATAGGAAATAAGAAGCGCTTTTGTCACAACGCTATTGAATTTTAAGCGCCGGTATAGATAACACTCACGCCTTAGGCGTCCAAGTACATAACAGATAGCATTGATTACGTAACACCATGGTTCTCAAACTGAGCGACGCGACGCCCAAGTGCGTCGTTTCAATATTGATAGGGTGTCGCAAAACTTTTCTTCTTTTGCGGATTTGTACCTGCGGTGTGTGAAAAAAGTCAAAATTTTCGTTATTCTTGTTTAAATCATACTTGAGAACTGGAAATAACAATATATTAATTGTTGTAACGATCGAAAATAACAAGCGCCCGTGCTTGAATAAGGGCCGGTTTGAATAAGGGCCCGGTTAGTGAATTGGTTGAAAAAATATGGGCCCAGGCTACAAAACGAGCAAATACGGTAATTTGAAGCAAGCATCAACCAAGTGTTAAAATACAATTTATTAAGGAAAAAACAGTAGTGGCAAGAGTAGTTATATTGAAGTCACATTTTCACAATTTCATTCCAAAAATTTCGTGTATTACCTCATTGCAATATACCAGCAAATTATAATCCTATACATGAAGTTACCATTAAATTCAGAAAATACTTTTTACAAATATACAAGTGTGACATCAACCCTACTTTATCCAGGTCAAAAGTTGACTTTAATGCAATAAACAACACACCAGGGCTTAAACTTGAAATCCCTAAGAGGACTTAAACCTGAGATCTATAAGATTATAACATAGCAATCATGTTCACAAAGTATGTGTATGTTGACAACAAAGAATTTAATGGTCGAAGGTATGATGTGCAGTTTAATGACATTATCCATCAATTCACAGACATCAACAGGAAATAAGAAAAAAGAAGAAAAAATAAGAAACAAAGAGCAGGTAGTTTATCAGAGAAGAAAGTTGGCAACAACACAAAGAAACTGTCAGTCTGGAGCGTTCATAACACCTCCGGGAATAAATTAATTACTGTTTTATTAGCGGAAGACTGAGAATATCATAAAGATCGTATATGACCTTCATAATGTTGTGATGAATATAGCACCATTGCATACCTTGCAGTTCATAAATGCCTTTGGCAATTGAAGAATGTATTAAATCAGCTGACATGAAAACTATTGCCGCAGTCAATTTAATATGCAATATTTCAAACTGTTATTGAAAGATTGCAATGAAATATGGAAGTGTTGGTGTAATGCACAAGATATATGCATGTTTGGGTTGTGGCTTGCGATCTACATCCAGCAGCGGTATAACCACTAGTCATCACTAGGGCTGGGTATACCAAATTGAATTAGAAATTCTCGAATTGAAACGAACAAGAATTTAGAATTGCCGCCATCTTGTTTTTTTGTCCGTCGAGGTGAATCCCTCCATTAATTTATTGAAGCTTTTTCGTAATCAAGGGACTGGTCTATACAAAATGAGCTATCTAGAATTTCCAAACATCATTGAAGAAATAGGTAAACTGCAAACAGCAGAAAACATTAATACTATGAGATTTGATAGTAAGTAAACATGAGAACAATTAACGAAAAATTCAATACTGAAAAGAGATCCTCCATTTTCAATAGCTTTATGACGTCATAATCCAAAAATTGAAGTATCACAAATGAGAAAAATTATCGACGTCTTCGGTTTGGTCTTATTATGTATGTAAAATCATCAGTTTCAATAATATCTGCACTGTTAGCCCTTGAAGTGAGAAAAACTTGACGAGCAGCTGCATGTCTCGGGATTTGCCCTTCATCTGGGGAAGGAGATCCTGGTGAATTGCACTGATTAAGAAGCAAGGATTTAGGTGGTGACATTCTTGCTGGAAGGCTTACTTTTCTTGGATTGTTGTCCATTCCGAAATGATGTCTGATGCCACGAATGCGACTGACTGAGTTGTCGAGAACCTGTCCAATTATTTCTTTTGACTTAGATTCATTAGGAGCTTTGAGCTTTTCCTTGACGTCAAATGACTGATTATCAGTATTCGATTTTCCGTAAAAACTTGCGTTTGCTGTGACATTATCTTTTTCACCACACACCGGCACATCAATACACACTCTTTCCAAACAAGGAACATGGTGAAGATAATTAACAACTTTTTTCTTGCCGTTGGTAACTTTACTACTGACAACATTGCCATAACTACATGTTTGGGTAGATGCATCCAAAGACTTTACTCTTTTAAGTTGTACAGGTTCGGTTTGTGTATCAATGTTCTTGGCTATGCATCTTCTTGGCCGCTGACGAACAGGGTTGGAGAATGTCTTCAGTATTCGATTACTTTCGTAGGCGAAAATTTAATCGTAGGTTTTTGAGAAGTTGGAAAGAAGGCATGTTTTTGATAAAGGTGGAGATCTTTTAATACGTTGGCATTTACAAGATGGAGACAAAGAAGTGAATGATTGGGAATTCCCATTATCAAATTTCATCTGACAAAAGGAGAAGGAGTACTTTTATTCTCTCTCATTATCAGTTCTAATCTTTCATGTAGTTGAACTGCAAATGTAGACACATCATTGATCGGAGATTTTTTAAGATTCATGCTTTTTAAAGCTTTTTCCAAGATATCAGCCGACGGTATAATATTGACTTTTTCCACATAATTCGATCCAACAAAAGGAGGTTGATTCGTAATTGTGTCAGAATTCACTTCTAAAGATTCATTAGATTGATTCACTTTTGACTTGGATGATGATTTTTCCCATTCACCAACAGCTTTTACATTACTATTTCCATTGGTAAGTGTATTATCCATAGACATTTTCACACCCTCAAATTGAAATTCTTCTGAAGATGCAGACATTTGTTTCTGTAATTTCATTCTACTTCTACCTCCAGTTTGATGTTGTTCACCGCGAGTTTTTGGAAAAGGAAAACCGTCAGTGCTGTCCATAAAGGCAACAGGACTACTTTCAATGCTCACTTTCGACATATCATAAGCCATATCTGAATGCATTGACATGGATCTTGAACTTTCCATGCTAGAAGATGAGCCTTGTCTACTTAACGGCATTCCGAAAAGAGGACTAGTGCCATTACTTGGAGAAAATCCGTCGATTCGTCTGCCAAATTTTTCCTCTTTTGAATGTCGATGTCTCCCACTACTGAACATCATTCGATTAATCACATCTCTGACATTGCCAGATGAAGTTCCCTTAGTTTCAGAATATTCACAATTAAAAGATTCATGTGAAGTACTATATTGAAAATTGAACAAGCTTTTCTGTTTCAGCTCATTTTCCAATCTTTCAGCCCATTGTTTCATTATTTCTTCTCTTTCCTTTGCTGGTCCTTTTTCTGCGACCAATTCGGATTCTTGGTGGCGTATATCTTTCAATTTTGTCTTGACTTCTTGAATCCAGTCTGATTTGGTGTGCACAAATGAATCTGTTTGTTTTTCCAATTCGCCATCAGTCAACATTTGATTTAATTCAGGGATGATATCACTAAAAGGCGGTCTTTCAGATGCGTCAGCTTGCCAACAACTTTGCATCAATTAGAGAGCCTTTCTGGACAAGTTGTAGGAATTAACGTCTCTCTTTTTTTTCTACAACATTCCATGCACTTGAAAACCTTGTAAGCCTTTGAATGGAACTTCTTTGGTCAGTAGTTCCCATAGAACAACAGCAAATGAATATACATCACAAGTTTCCGATGTTGGTAGTCCTTGAATTAATTCAGGTGCCATCCAAGGATAGGTTCCGGTAATCGTCATTACTGTTGTTTCATCAAACACTCTGCTTGCACCGAAATCACATATTTTTAAAGAGAAATCTTGGCAAATCAAAACATTTTTTGATTTGAGATCTCTGTGCACAACTTGAATTGGTGCTTCCTCATGTAAATAATTCATACCCAATGCAACATCTCCAGCCCATGACAGCATCTGTACAAATTCCAACTGCTCACTTTTAGGTGAAGCAAGAAAGCAATACAAGCTTCCATAAGGTGCATATTCAGTGACAAGACAATAGTTTGGGACTTCACAGCAAGCTCCATAAAATTGAATTATATTTCTATGACTCAATGTACTTAATATTTTAACTTCTTCATCCATTCGATTCAATGTCTTGACAGCTATATCCTTCCCCCCTTGTGATTTCCATTTTGCTTTATATACTGTTCCAAAACTTCCTTCCCCACAACAGTCACCAAGTTCTATATCTTCAAATGGTATTTTCACATAAGCTGGAGAAAAATCAGGGGCTGGTGAATCTTCCCCTTTAGCCTTCGTTTTACCATTACATGTGCCTGATGTTGTTGGGTCTGAAAGTCGCCTAGCTTCAGATGCACCTTCTTCAGATTGGGGGAGAGATTTACTATTGTTAGTATCGAATGCAACAGTTGGTAAGTTATCATGAATACTTCTACGAGTGCTCATTTTATTTAAATCTTTTGAGAAACTGAGATATAGAAGAGAGAGAAGAAAGAATAAGAAATTAGAGAAAAGGATGATAAAACTAGATGGCAAATCATAGAAGAAAAACAGAAAAAGCATACCAGCAGATGAAAAGATACAGAAACAGGTGCGCCAAATTAGATAGAGGATTGGCATGCAAACAAATGTCCAAAAATTTGTTCAGAGAAACGGAGCATAAACTGTCAGCAATAATTTACAAGAGCCTATCAAAAGATACAAAGATTGAATCTGATGCATGAAATTCTGAAAGCAAATTTGTCATACAATTCGGCGCGAATGTTATTGAGCAGGATAATAATATTTGAGCAGCTCAGATCGATATGATGGGGAAAACATCTACAAGGAAATGAATTAATTCCCCATAATTGAAGCCAGTGCCATGCCAACATAGTGGTTTAATCGGATGAATACAGCAAAATCTGCCAATGAAGCAACGAATCTGATGCATGAAATTCTGAAACAAATTTTGTCATACAATTCAGTCCGTACGTAATTGCGCAGAAAACTAATACTTGAGCAGCTCAGATCAATATGACAGGGAAACCATCTACAAGGAAATG